CCTGCTTCTGCAGGTTTTCAAAGACCTGTCATAAAGGTGCAGTCTAGACACACAAGATTGAGTCAGGAGGGACAGTTGACCTTGTTTGGTTAAAACGACGACAGGAGATCTTGGGGTGCTCATGGGACTATCTGCAGCCATACCAAACTCTAAGAGCCGATGGATTCCAACACGAACCAGGAGAATAATTTATGTGGCATTATTTTGTCACTGACAACTCAAAGGAACAGGCAGAACCCACTGAATATCCAAGTGGAGCAACCAACGCAGGAATTTCTCTCTTCTCCAGGGAAGCAATGGGTCTGTGATCATTTTACTATAAAGCTGACTGGGCAGAGGAAGGCAAGGTCTGGAGAAGGACCAGAGGGCGAGATCTGGCAGCTTTTCCTGGGAGACTTGGCTGGGGGACATGGGTTTTGATTATGGCCCCAGATCTACTCTTACAATGAGTGAGCTTTGGCAAGGTATTTCCCATCTACTTCAGTTTCCTCATCTGTAGGATGGAGATTACACACCTCCCCCATGGGCTGCAATGAGGATCGCATGAAGTCAAGAGAGAAATTTATTACATTGATGGCAACTCATAAAAAAGAGCTCAGGGTCAGTTTCTCCTTCCCTGGCCTTTATCTTGCGGGCAGAGGAGAACGGAACATTGAAAAAGAACATGCTCACTTTTCCTTGCTCTTCGGCATCAAACTTTCATTCCTTTGTCAAGTCCAAGGGGAGACAAACATATTCCCAAGCGCTGGGCTAGGCTTTTGACTGCTTCATGATAAATCACACTCAGGTGATCTGTATCTAGAGCTCATTTTAGCTGATTTTCCCCTGAAACTTACGTCCTACGTGGTGGCCAACAGGACTTGGTTCTAGATGCCCCGGAAGCATATTCATGGAAAACAAAGACCAGCTGCATGGTATCTTCTGGGGGAAGCCTGGCGTGTGCTTGGTAGCACTTTCCCAAGTGCAGTCCACTGCTCGGGCTCTGATAAATTTCTTCTCTTGCCCCAGAACATTCTGATCTGCAGACTCCTCAGGTGGTCCTACCTTTCTCTGGAAACGGGTACTCTGTCTTGGGCCTGTACCATATGCTTCTACTTAACACATTTAAGTAGCTGAGTGACCTGCCAGAACTCAATCCTTGTAGAGGTTTAGAGAGGAAAAACCTGTTTCCCCGACTGCCCCCCAAGAACCTTCCAAGATACTCTAGAACCTTCTTCATGTATGGTTATCTGGAGCCATAAAGTCCAAAGCATTGAACCCAAACGGAAAGTCTCCAATCCATTCAGCCTTCTCTGGGTTGATGGGGCCATTACTGTTTTGATGCAGAATTTTTGCTCTCAATTTCTTCCATGTTCACTCTCCCAGTGACTCCAAGCTAGGAAATATCCCTGTCTGTATAGAATGGTTATCAGGGATGAAACCAAGACTTGCCATTGGTGGTACATATAGTTTGAAGGGACTTCCAATATTTGAGGCCACCAAGCTCCTAGCTTTTTGATGGCAGGAATTGTTTTTGTAGTTAATAAATAAATGTTTTTATTACAATCATTACAGTGCCATCAAATTATGAGAATGGTCTTGGCAAATTGAGTAGATCCTGTTATGTTGGGACTTCCTACAAGTAATTATTCTTCCAATTTATAGTGTCCAGGAACTGCCTGGCACAAAATAGGCAAGGCATAATGCACAACTGTCAATTAATTAGCTAATATTGAACTGAAGTATACCTTGGGGGTTTTCTAGATAAGTTTTTTTTTTAAATGAAAACCAGAGTTTCATAATATCAATGTCATGTCTAATAAATGTAAGTTCAATTCCCAGAAAAAGCAGTTTTGTGAAAAGAACCTTTTCAATTCCGTGTGGGTTTTGTTGTTTCTTTCTCTCAAAATTAACAAAAAAATATTTTTGTGTTTCCTCATGTGCTGGTATTTGATAGTCAGAACTCACACTTGGTTTCAAGTTCTTTCTTCTCAGCCCAATGATATCCCCTTTCACCTGAGAAAGTGGATTTCTCTCATTCATTTTGATCCTGCTAAAGCATCACCCCTTAATAATCTCATGTGTCATATTGCAACACACAGAGATGGAATACATAAATGAGATCATAGTTTCACTTGGGAAAATTATTAATGGAATTAATTGGTCACTATTTCATGGGATTCTGCCCAAACTGCAATTTCCTGGGCTAGTTTCAGAACCACTGGTGTACCTGAAACAGCATAACTTTCATGTTAGCAACCAATGCTGCTGGATGAGCCCATCATTCTGTTCTTTTGACACAATGATCTTTGTGGAAGCACACACTTTCTTCCTGTAACTTATGCTCAATTCTAGACCTCGACTGTCTGCTTTATCAACCATATCACCAGCCATGTTGGTGATATTGTCTTGGGGCAGCCAACGTGAGCAGATTTGGTTTGCTTTTCAAAGAGGATAGCAAAGCAAAATATCCAGGTAATTTTTCTTCTTCTTTTTTTAAGATGGGAAAGAATAGCTCTTAAGAGTCTTATCTTTATTCATTCATGAAAAATGTATTTGGTCTTTGCACTGAGAATGGCAACATACCCATGTCGGAGACCTGCTGGTGAGGAGCACAAACCCAGACCCTGCCATCTTGGCCTTAGGAGCTGGCAGGGAAATAATACAAGCTCCATCCGCTGTAAACTATTAAAAGACCCTTAGGCTGTCCTCTAAGCTTGGGCCCATGGTAATTGTTAGCTTGAGGATGAGAAGTCCCACTCTTCCAGCTGAGAACTCCACTGAGTTCTTGGAAAATGGATCTATTTGTAAGATACTAAGCTTAGTAGGTTCTTTAAGAATATTAATAAGGTAGGGAAAACAATTGGTGCCTATATAGATTGATTAATTCTCCTTTTTTTTGTTTCAAATAACTCCTACATAAAAAAAAAAAAAGAACACAGTAACAGGTTAGATGGTAAGTGGCTCCATCCTTTCTAGTGAGAGATCCTAGGAGGTCAGAATCAAGAACCAAGCCCTAGGGTTCCCAGCGTCAACTCTAGTGGCACTGCCTGGCATATTGAGGGGAGCTGAGAAGACCTTCAGATTGCTGTAAGGTCAAAGGCAAACCATCTGGGTAGGGGTTCCATATCCAATGTGTGTGATCATTCTTGTGTATTTCCCACCTCAGACTTCAAGGTCAACAGCCACCAGAGCACTCTCCATGTCAAACGCCCTTTCTACCTGTAACCATGCCTGCCCTTGGCCAGGGACTGCAGGCTTTGGTTGTAAATCCCTAAAGCCAGGCAGCAGCCCTGCATGATCACTGCATGCTAAGCACCTATTGACAAAAATCAAACTGTGAGAAGCTAGCTCCTCTCTCCCGCAGAACGTAAGACCACTGTGTTGGGTAATGGTGACAGCGCCATCCAGATGTCTGCCATGGCTCTGATGGCTCCTGACAAGACTGTGAGGGAGGACATCAGTGGCACTTACATGCAGACATTTGTTTATGCCATTGCAATCATCTTGATGGTCTCCATGGTGACCATCCTCAACCAGTGCTGAGATGTGCTAAGAGGGTGAGGCAATAATAATATGCAGAACTGTCATTTAGCTACTTCAGCCCAAACCTCACAGAAGCCTTTTCCATCACAGCGGCATCCCATAAGAGGCCACGGCCTCTTAAGCTCATTTGGCCTGTGATTGATGGGGAGACGCACACCGGGGAGCAGTGCTCTGCAGGCGGGGGCTGACACTTCCACTTCTCAGGGGTAGGAGTGCTTTGAAAATCTGCAGGAGTGAAAAAGGGTGGTTCTGGAAATATTGCCCATCTGCATATTACCATTACAAGTAGCTGCTTGTACTATTTTTTTTCCTGGATCCCAAATACAACGCATCAGGAAGCATATGTGGCAAATGAGAGCAGACAGCTCCCTCCTCCTGGATACACTGTGTGGTAAGTGCTTTGCACACGACACCGAGTACAGGTTGTCCTGGCATAATTTCTGGGTCCCGCTGCACGAAGGGCAGAGCAGTGAAGCCAGAGGAGCCCAGGGGATAGAGCGAGCCGCCGGACAGGGCTCTGGGCCCAGCTCTCCAGGGACACAAAGTGGCCCCGGGCGTGTCACGTGAGCGGAGCCAAAGGCTTCGCAGTGTTACAGAGAGACATGGACCAGACAGCCTGTGTGCCCTTTGACTCCGGGTTCCACTGGAGATGGGTGTTCTCGTGGGGAGGGTGAGTGGGAACCTCATTTTGAAGGCACTGAACTTAGCTGCTGTGCAGAGGGGCGCCCCACTTCTGATCAACGTCACCATCTTTGGCTCCAGGAATTGGGAACTTTTAAATGGGTGTATGTGTGTGTGTGTGTGTGTGTGTGTTTCTCCTCACCAACTCATAGCTCATCCGCAATGCGACACTGGGACAACCACCACCTTTTACAGACCAAACTGGGTGTGACACTAGGCAATGGCAGACCAGCGAGGGCCTGCGGAGGGCGTTGAGAAGGCTTTGCCTCACTGAAATAATCTGGAAGCTTCTTGGCTTTGTAGATGTGGAAATATCTCGCTCCTCTCCTGCCACCTTACCTCGGGAGGCAACCTCATTGGCACTTGAGAACCCTACTGGCTGGGGTGGGGACCAGAGAAAGAACTTAAACTACCTCCCTGCTTACCAAACCCAAACTCAAACCAAACCAGCCGTCCAGACAGACAGACAGACGAAGAGCAGAGCTCGTGGGCGACCCCTCCCGGTCCCGGGACTGGTCTGACCGCGAGCAAAAAGAAGAAGAGCCGGTGAGCGTGTGTCCGCAAGGAGGCTAGTGGGACCAGAGCTAGTGCAAGGACATGCAGACCATGCTGGAAGGAAGCGGCTTCACGGTGGTGGCATGGAGGACAGGCCATGGCCGGCCCCCGCGGGGGGCCATCACGCACATGCAGGCGTCGGATGCGGCCACGGGTGACCGCACTGGTGAGTGTCAGGCGTGAGAGCAAGTGGGCTGTACAGAGTCTGTGGGCATCACAAGGAGTCCGCCAGGACCCCTTTACGCGGGCTTGTTGGATGGGGTCCATATGGAATCCGAGATCCCGTCCCCCGTGGAGGACAGAGGCATGGAGCTGCTGGGCGTGAAGGGGTCCGTGTCCGTGTCCGTCTCGCCCTCGGCCAGGTACCGCTTCTCCCGCATCCAGCTCGAGCCCCCGCCCGGGCCGAACACGTCGTCTCTGTCTTGGGAGATGCTGAAGCCGCTGGGGGACCGTTCCAGCTCCTCGTGGTCCACCGACATGAGGGACAGGGGCGTGTCGCTGTCCCGCGTGTAGCTGCGTCTCTGCCGGGGGGAGACCCGGTCCGTGCGGGGGCCGTGCGGGTCGGTGGGGGACGGGAAAAGCGTCAGGATGGGCAGCACGGTGGGCCTCTCCATGTACTCCGCGGCAGAGGAGGAGAGGGGCCCGGGTCCCCCGCGGGGCAGGCTCACTGGGTCGTGGGCGAAGAACCAGTAGGGGCCGACTTTGCTGATGGGCACCTGGTGGGAGCTGAAGGAGGGGTCCGGGGGCCCCATCTCGGAGTAGTTGCAAAGGATGGTTTTCATCTCCGAGTCCCGGGGGTCCCCTCTCTCCTCCGCCGGGGCCGGTTCGTAGGCGGGGACGTACGCCTGCAGCCGCTCCATGTGCTGCATGTGCATGTCCACCAGGAAGTCCAGTTTCCGCCCCATGTCCTGCACCTGGAACACAAGGAGCGGGCACGGCTCCCTCAGGGGGTGCCTGTCCCTGTCAGAGAAGCCGCGGCCGCACTGCTCATCGGGAAGGAAGAGGGACCCTGCTGGTCCCCATGCGGACGGCCTCCTCCCTTCCACCTCACACTCGCAATGGGGCAGATCCGGACAGAACCCGGGCAACCTGAGCGAAGGCTGGAGGCGGGGATGTGAGGACAGGCGCTCCAGGCCTTCCCTGTCCCCCGGGAGGACAAGGGGCTGGGCTGCCATTTGGGTGGAAGAGCGGGAGTCCTTGTTTTGCAAACGTTCCCTTAGACGGAAGTATGTGGACTGTTAGCCTTTGCTCCTCCTACGGGGTGAGGTAAGCCCCAAAGATGCGGAGCGGTGGTGAGCGAGGACTGAGCTCATAGGGAGGTCCTGCCTGGGGGCCTCGGGTGCAGGGGGAGCTACAGAGATAAGCAGGGTCTGCTCCTGCCCAACTGGGGATTTACCTAATCTTTGTGAATGTGTATGCAGGTGTGTGTGCAGCACATGTGCATGCCTGCCTGTGTGCACATGTGTTCCTACGTGCATGAATATAGGTGTGAGTGTATGTGCATGTGAGTGTGTGCATGTGGATATGTGTGTTTGCATGCATGTGAGCGTGCATATATATGTGTGTGTGCACACATGTGTGTGTGAGACCTTCTCTTCCTGACAAGTCATACTCACCAAGCAAGCACTGGGCAGGTACATCATCCCCTCCATCCGATGAGGATGCCAAGCACAGCACTGGGTAATGGCCGAGATGGCATCCAAGCGTCACAGTCACTAACCCTCACACAGCAGCTACTATCTGACTCTGCTCATTGCGCTTTCAAGATACGACCTCACTTAGTTTTCCCAGCCCTTATTCTGCAGGCGAGGCACAGAGACACTAGCAGATGAAGTAACTTGTCAAAAGTCACAGAGCCGGTAAGTGGACGGGCTGCGATTTTTTAAAGTATGAATTGAAATTTAGAAATGAAAAACGGCATTCTTTTTAGGCCCAAAAAGAAGAATCACTGAGCTTTTCTCTCGCCTCGACTGCTCCGATCCACGTTTGAATTATGGATAAAATAAAAGAAGGAACAGAAATCCTGATAGCAACTGGCAGTGCCATTTATCTAGGGTAACCTTAAGGATCTAGGGAATGGGGGAGGAAACGAACATTTCTTGAGGGAACGCTGGGAAGCACTGAGACTGATAGCACCCCTGGCTAAGTGCTTTCTGTACACGCACTGCGGCTCTAGGCAATTTACATGCGTCAATTCATTTCGTTTTCACAGCAAGCTCGGGAAGGATTACGATCCCCTTTTTCGAGGAGGCCACTGAAGCTCAGGACAATTCCTTAATGTGCACGTGATCACCCAGCCAGCAGCTGTGGAATCCGGGGCTGAATTTCCACGTCCTTTTTGGAATGGAAGAGACTCACAGAGGTGCCATTTGAACTCAGTTTTATCCCCTGCATTTTTGGTTCAGAAAAGGAAAGACCTACCTGTCTTTCCACTTTCACAAACTTCCCCATCATGCTTTGGTCTTCCATCTCTGATGTGGGTGCTCTGGCCACGTAGGGTTCGTTCCTAGGGAAGAGCCAACAGGCCCGGGAGATGATTAGCCCTGGTTTTGCTTTGCAAGTTGCTCCAGCGCCGGGCCATGTCCCAGGAGCCACGGCTCCCCTCAATCCGGGAGGCGCGTGTGGGCCAGGGAAGGAGCTAAGCTCCTGGCTGTGCCCATGGTCTGGTTCCTTGAAATGACTGTCCTAGGGCTTCCGTCGCAGGCTGCTGGTTGGGAGCCCCCCAAGTGCACGTAGTGGGGCGTGAGGAGGGGTCTAACCTCTGAAATGCTATACCGTGGGGTCAGCATTTCATCCGTCCCATCTCATTAAGAGTGGAAGACATGCTGAATCTAGGGAATGGCGTCCAGGGTGACACGGGCGGGGGTGGGAGTGAATGGGTGCTGCGTTCTGCTACTGGGAAGCATTCTGCCAGCTCCAATAACTCCTCTTATTTCATAAAAGAAGCAGGGCTTTGCATTTCAACAGCCACAACACCACGTGTCACCCACGCGGTCTGCAGAGAGAGAGAGGGGAGGGCAGGGTTTCGCACAGAAACCTTTCAAATGGCCACACATCAGAACAGCCCTCAAACTCTCCAGTGTATTCGGGGGCCCGGCATCCTCACCCAACCAGAAAGCAACCACTGAGACTCGGGGGGGGTGCAGGGAGGGGAATGCCCCACGAGCTGTGGTGCCCACGACCTGTCGGTCACTGCGCACAGACCCACCTGGGAGACTGCTGGGACGGGTAGGTGAACGCGGCCCCTTTCTGAGGCTTCCTAAGCTTGGGAGTGGAGGGCGGCCCGGGGGTGAAGATCGTATCTATTCTGGAAGAGAGCACATGGCGAGGGGGTTAAAGGACAGGGCGGACAGGGGCAGAGAGGAAGGCAACTCACTCGAACCCCTCCTGCCAGGTGTGGGTGTGGAGCAAAGGATTAAAGGGAAAAGAGAGGGGGCGGGACGGAGGGAGAGAAAGAGAGAGAAAGGAAGGCAGAGAGAAAGAAAAAGAGAGCCGGGACCGGTGTGGCTCAATGGATAGAGCGTTGGCTTGGGGACTGAAGGGTCCCGGGTTTGATTCCGGTCAAGGGCATGTACTTTGGTTGCGGGCACATCCCCAATAGGGGGTGTGCAAGAGGCAGATGATCGATGACTCTCATCGATGTTTTTTTAAAATATATTTTATTGATTTTTTACAGAGAGGAAGGGAGAGGGATAGAAAGCCAGAAACATCAATGAGAGAGTAATATCGATCAGCTGCCTCTTGCACACCCCCTACTGGGAATGTGCCCGCAACTCAGGTACATGCCCTTGACTGGAATCGAACCCGGGACCCTGGAGTCCACAGGCCGACGCTCTATCCATTGAGCCAAACCGGTTTGGGCTCTTCGATGTTTCTAACTCTCTATCTCTCTCCCTTCCTCTCTGTACAAAATCAATAAAATATATTATAAAAAAAAAAAAGAAAGAAAAGAAAAGAAAAAGAAAAAGAAAGAAAAAGAGAGAATGTATCATCTCAATAGATTGTCTTTTTCCGGTCCATTGGTGTCGAGGGCACCTTCGCCATCCCAGGAGAGAGAGAGGCAGCCAGCCCACGGAGACTGGGTGAGACTGGGTGAGGGAAATGCCGTGTGCCTGCAGGCCCAGCTGGCCTTCAGCTCATCCGGATAGGCAGCCTTTCCTGCCACCCCCTAGGCTCTGTGCTCGGCTCTCCAGGTGTCTGCTGCTGGCAGGCATCTCTGGCCATCAGAGGACAAAGTCATATGTCTAAATATAATCACATGCATAGTCATACATGTGTACATGTGTAAGTGTGCATGTCTAGGTCTGACTGTATTAGTAATCATATTATGGCTATTAGTATATTCACAGGTCATATAATTTTTTCACCGCATGATATATATATATATCTTGCAAATGCCATTTGATGGCTATATAACTCGAATGAGAGCAGGTACTGTTCTTTCCTTTTTTTTAAAGTATACATACTTTTATTGATTTCAGAGAGGAAGGGAGGAGAGAGAGAAACATCCATGATGACAGAATCATTGATCCACTGCCTCCTGCAGGCCCCACCTTGGGGATCAAGCCCGCAATCCAGGCCTGTGCCCTGACCTGGAATCAAACTGGGACCTCCTGGTTCTTAGGCTGGTGCTTAACCCCTGAGCCAGGAAGGCCGGGCTATTTTCTTTTCTTGGTCGTTACGTTGTGACTGAGGAGGTGCGGCTGTTAGAGAGACTAGGAGCTGGGTAACCAGTCACCCCTGGACTGAGCTCCCAGCTCTGCCACCTCCTGGCTAGGTAAGTTTGGGCAAGTTCTTTGCCCTTTGAGCTCTGGATTGCTCCCTGGGGAAATGGCAATTAGTTGGGCATCGTTGCTGCTTCCATATTTTTGCTATTAGAATTGACATCTGATGCACATTTTTTCAACGACAGTGAAAAATTTATATTTAGAATTAGCCAGCTGGACTGGGCTTGGACAATTCCAGTTTGGTTGGCAACATCCAAAACATCCCAGTCGGAGGCCAGTCTGACATATGCTTTCTTGCCATGAGGCCCCATCAGGGGGTTGACCTTGGCCTTAGCAATGTCACAGAGCTTCCTCCCAGCCTGCTTAACCTGAAGCTGCTTGGCTCTGACAACCACAATGCTTGATGGACATACTTGTTCCTAACATTTCTCTCCGCACATTGGATTCTTTCTGAAGGCCTTGCCCCCTCCGCTCTGGGGTTCACCTGGCTCTGGCTCCTTAGTGGCCAGGAGAGCACCGTCCTCTTGTGCGATGGTCTTACCTGGTCTGAAGGTACTTGATCCTGGACAGCATGTCGAGGTGGCCTGCGGAATACTGCTCAATCACATCCTTCACGTCATAAGGCCTCAGCGTCTCCTTGAATTTCTTCTTATAGAGACGGAATTGTAAAATTCTGTGAGGTGAAGTAGAGATGTGTGTGCGTCATTGGTGGAGAAACTACAACTAGCAGGTTAGTGGGGGAGGAGAGAACCAAAGAGAGAAGGACTCGATGGGGAGACGTTCCGATTGGGGTCCCGGATCCGGCCTTCCACGCCACACAGACCAGGCTGGTAGGTCCTCTCCGCCTTGGCGCCTCCCCTCCATCATTTGCATGCTCAGAGCGTCAGAGTGACCCTTGGAGTGAACATTTCCTGAGTCTTCCTTACAGGCACTGAGCTAAGTGTTTCATGAACAACCCGCTGATAGTTCTGGAAGGTGAGGCCGTGGCCGAGAGCTTGGGCACTTTCCCGGGGCCCCTGCTAACAGCCTCGGAGCTCTCCTCGGACCAGCTGTGGGTGCTGACAAGGCCCGTGTCACACAGCTGACACCTCTTTTCCTGAGTCGCCTTTCTAACCCTCTGGCTTTTAGCTCCTCAGAAAGAGACACTAGCTTCTGTTCCCCAGGTTTCCTCGGGCTCTTAGTAAAGGGGGGCATCCGGGACTCACAGATGCCAAGCCCTCACCTCCGTCTTCCTGGGAGCCAGGTGACGTGCTGACGTACAATCGTTAGTCTTTAGGCAGCATCCCCCGGAGTGAATGGACATGCTCTGCACCTCCGGGGTCACTCCTACCGCCCCCCTCCCAGAGCCAAGAGCACTTTACAAAGCCCTGTCCTGGGTTCGAGCTGGGGCATGGGGAGCCATGAGCAGGGAGGCGGGGCCTCACCTGACAGCTCGGATGACGGCCTTCAGGGTGGGGATCATGTCTTCGATGAGGAAGTCGTTCCCGTCGTCCCTGTCCTCGGCCATGGGGTCGCCGGTGCCGGCATCTGGGAGGGAGACACGTATGTCAATGGCGGCCAGCGCCCGGAGAGCCTCCTCCAGCCACAGCCTTCCCAGCTCAGCCTCCTCTGCTCCCACATCCGGGAACCCCGCGGGGTCCTCAGTTGTGAGGTCACGCAGCCCTTCTGAGCACCCCCTCCTATTACCCAGAAGCCTCCAGTTCAGGATGTGCATTCGAATTCCCAGGGTGGCAGCCAAGGGCACACAGGTGGGCATTCGGTCACATTCCTGCTCTTTCAAGCCCTCAGCCTGTGGCCTTGGGGGAGGTCCCTCTCTGAGCCTACTTATCCTCTTTCCCAAGTGAAAGGGAACACAGAGACGCTGTTCCTACACCCTCGAAGGGTGCTCTCTGACCCCTCCCCCCACCCTGGGGTGCTGAGGCCTCTGGGGCTGCGGATCACTCTGCACCCGGCCCCTCTCCATCTTTCGGGTCGGCTCCATGGCAGTGCACTCATCACTGCCACCGAGGGACCATGGTGACCGGTCCCCACGCTCCCAGCCGCGTCTGTGCAGCTGAGTGTGGTGACTGTGGCCCAGAAACCGCCACCTGGGCGCCCTGCCCTGCGAGCTGTGGGGACGAGTCACAGACGCCTCCAGCCCAGGGACGGAAAGAGGAGGCAGTGAGCAGGGGGTTGGGAGAGGGCAGGGAACGGGCTTCTTTGGGACTGGAGAGTCCTTCATGGTGAGGGACAGTTGGAGGAGAGTTGAAGGGACAAGGAAGGGAGAAAGAGGAAGGGAGGAAGGGAGGGAGGGAGAAAGAGAGGAAGGGAGAGAATGAGGGAGGAAAAGAGAGAGGAATGGAGGGAGGGAGGGAAGAAGGGAGGGAGGGAAGGAGGGAAGGAGGGAGGGAAGAAGGGAGAAAGAGAGAGAGGGAGGGAGGGAAGGAGGAAGGAAGGGAGTGAGATAGGGAGAGAGGGTGGGTGGGAGGAAGGGAGAGAGGGAGGGAGGGAAGGAGGGAGGGAAAGAGGAAAAGAGAGAGGAATGGAGGGAGGGAGGGAGGAAGGAAGGGAGGGAGAGAAGGAGGGAGGGAGGGAGGGAAGGAAGGAGGGAGGAAGAGGAGAGAGGGAGGGAGAGAGGGAGGGAGGGAGGGAGGGAAGGAGGAAGGAAGGGAGGAAGAGAAGGAGGGAGGGAGGGAGGGAGGGAAGGAGGGAAGGAGGGAGAGGGTCTCGGGCAGGGCGAGGACAGGCCTTACCTTCGGAGCTCTGCCAGAAAGCGTAGGCTTTCATGCGGAAGGCGGTGCGGAAACGCTCTTTATGGTTTAAGCCAACAGGCTTTGGCTCTTTAGAAGGGCTTTCTTCTATGGCATCTACATTCAGAGGGGCAAATAGCTTTCCTTTAGTATTGCTACCGCGAGGATTAGAAAGCCGAACCCGATCCAAGAGACCCAGCTTTTGGCTACAAAATAAGCAAAAGTGAACAATTTTCCTCCTTGAGTGCAGGCTCTTCGTACTCCCCGACCCTCTCCACAAAGACTCGCACATCCTCCTCCGCGCCTGACTGGCTCCAGCGGGCGGAGGCGCTGGGACGGGCAGGGCTGGTGCGATCCCAGCTCCGCAGAGGACTAGCTACACGGGGGCAGGCGCCTGAGCTCCTCCGGACGCCAGCGTCCTCCTGTGCTTACATGTAAATGTCAAGCACTAGCCGGGTCGGAGTGACTCAGCGGTTGAGCAGTGACCTGTGAACTCGGATGTCACGGTTCGATACCCAGTGAGGGCACAAGCCCAGGCTGTGTGCTCGATCCCTGTAGAAAGTGTGTGGGAGACAGCGGACCAATGATTCTCTCTCATCATTGATGTTTTTCTCTCTCTCCTTCTCCCTTTCTTTCTTCAATCAATAAAAAATCTATATTAAAAATAAAGCAAAATGCTAGCTCGCAGTCAGATGCAGCAAAGCTTCCTTCCCTCACCCCTTCTCCACCCCCATCTCCTGGGCATCAGGGACTTTCTTTGTGCCACTCGTGGTGGCCATTCAGCGACGTACACGTGAGAAGGCTGGTCAAATGCTCACTGAGCAGAAGCAAGTGACATAAATTGCATAAAGCAGGCACCCCCCCCCCCCGTGTATAGAATTTAGGGGCGTCCATGATCATGAATGGGGAAGGCACTGCTCCTTAACTGTCTAACATGTAACTGAAATGTAGCATGTCCTTTTTTTCTTTTAATATATTTTATTGATTTTTGTACAGAGAGGAAGGGAGAGAGATAGTTAGGAACATCGATGAAAGAGAGTCATCAATTAGCTGCCTCTTGCACACCCCCTACTAGGGATATGCCCGCAACCAAGGTACATGCCCTTGACCGGAATCGAACCCGGGTCCTTCAGTCCCCAAGCCGACGCTCTATCCACTGAGCCAAACCGGTTTCGGCTAGCATGTCCTTCTATTATCACAGTAGGTAATGAGCCCCAGCAATATCCTGAATGCCCCAGTCATGCGTGTGATTTCCCACAGCGTGGCAAGGAGGTCGAGGGTGCTGGGGCTGCAGAGGAGGCCAGGTCACCCCCATCGCCCCCAACCGAGCAGGTGCCCTGTGCTCTCTGCGCACCAAGTCCCCCCGGGCTAAGGGGGTCTAACAACACCTGCTTCCCAGGCGTCTGGGAGCATTGCACAGAAGAGCATCTGCCAGGTTTCTCCCTTCCGCCTGGCCCCGAGGCCACACAAGTACACGAGGGAACGGATGGCGGAAGCTCTGCTATTGAGAGGGCAGGGCAGGGGTGAGGATAAACTCCGGACTCCACTGTGGGGCAGGGTAGAGTCATCCTCCATTTTGTGTAACTGGACCCTAGCCCTCACCCAAGCAATCAGGGTCAGCCAAAGCAGTGAGATCACCACCGGAGTAAAACCCCGGGGCGTGTCGAAGTTCACGCTGTCGTCCGCCATGCGGGCGTGAGTGGGACAGAGCCCACGTAACCATGGAAGAGGCTCTCTTGTTAACTGCATCGGACTTGGCTCCCTGCTGGTCTTTGGGGATCACGGAATCATGGTACAACACTATCTCATTCCCTCCGGCCTGCTCTCCCACCAGCACTGCCCCCCAGTGCCCTGCCCGGGCCGGTTCAGAGAAATGCAGGGACTTCCCTGACCTGAAGTTCCAGCTTCCGAACCTGTTTTCCTCGCCGGAACTGGACGAATGGCTAACAGGACAGAGAATGACCTGTCAAGGCAGGATATCGACTGCATCCATGTGGAAGACTTCCCTACTTATGAGTGTGGGAAAGGGGGGCTGTGGCTCTGTCACTTCTCAGGCCCCCTTCTTCTCGGCCCCTGCACATGTGTCTTGAGGGTTTGTCTTTCTATGTCCACCACGCCCCTTGCCTGACCCGTCTCCTCCTGCACAGCTGGCCACTCAGGAACACAGCTTGTCACGCTCTTTCTTGCCTTCTCAGCTGCCCTCATCCTCACCTGCCCTTTAAGACTGCCTGAGCGTCCCCTCTGGAAGTTACGCACCTGCCTCTGCTGCCCAGACACGCTGTTTTCCTCTGTCATGGTTTGGCATACGCGGGGGGGGGGGGGGGGGGGGGGAAGATGGCGCGCTCGAACAGCTGCCCACCCCCTGAGCTGTGTGGTCCCAGCAAAGCAGAGACGCTGCCTCGTTATCTCTGATCCCAGCCCCTGGGCCTGCTCAGCACACCCCGATGGGCAATGCAGCAGCGAGGACCACGGGCTTTGGAGCAACAGCAGTTTGGGTGGGCCTGTCCTGGAAGGGGGTTCTCTAGGACACTGGACTCCTTCTTTCGGGTCCCCGCTTCCTCTCGTGCACAGTGGCGACACTCAGCCCTCAGCTGACTAAGGGTTAAGTGAGCAATGCGTGCTGAGCGCCCAGCACTGCCTGGGATGCCAGCAGCCTTCGGGAAACCTGGCTGTCACCATTATCCCTGATAACAATCCTCTCCCCACATCAGCCTGGGAAGGCTAATGATGTGTGAAAAGGATGGGCACCATTTCCTGGGCCACAAAAATAGTTGTGTGCCCTTGTTTGTTAATGAACTGCAGTGAGCTCTTTGGGAGTCTATCATTTTACAGCGCTCCTTTTAATTGCTTATTTCTCCATTACCATTGGCATTCAACATTCTATTATTTTACAGAAGTTCTTCACACTACACTCAAATACTCCCCATTGTCACTGAACTTGGCCTCGGCAGGAGATCAGTCCATGCAGACTTAATTCCAATTAAACAAATAAAAACAAAAGCACGGGCAGCCACTCTGTCCTGCCAGGAAAGCTCTCAAAGTGCTGACTATCGGAAAGCTAAGGGGAGGCCTCTTCTTCTATCTGCCGAGCTTAGGACTCGCTGGTTTGGCATTTACACGGTTCATTGCAACCTCTAACAGTCCGAACGGCGGCGGCTGCAGTCACTTAATGCCCCATTGTTCAGAGAGGATGGCTGATGCGATGTGATTTCATCAGCATTTGGAACCCGGAGGCTGCGGGCACAAGTCGAAACTCACTGCCATTACAACTAAGAGGCTTACGGAATCCTCCCTCCGGCAGAAGTGGGCGATCAGCTTACTTCTAAATGGTGTTGCCCGAAATCTGAGATGCCCAAAGGATGGTCAAGTGCAAGGCAGAGTGCACCCCTGAAACTCAAAACTCATCCCTGCCTTTCTCCACTCGGAATTCCAGCGCAGGACTCAGGCCGTGGGCTCCAAGTGCTGTGGGTCTGGGAAGAAAGGCCCTCCCTGGAGCTGACGTCACATTTCCTTGGAAAGCCATGGCTGACTGGGTAAGTGCAGACAGACAATTCTGAAACGTGAACTGGGAAAACTTCAGCTCAACGGATTGGGGTCAGGAAGGTAAATGTTGGAAGCTACCCATTGTCTTCACTATCAGAGAAGTGTAAACAAGGAGCCTGAATGCTGGTGAACCTTGAGCCCTGGCGAGGGCCAGAGCGATGCACCGACTGTTTAGTGGAGACAATGGTAGCTCAAGCAGCTTCCTGACTAAACAGTCTCAGAGTAAATCTTTACTAATATTTACTGACCTTTAAGATAGTCTGTCTGTTACCGGAATTGCCTGCCTGCCTGCCTAAGGGCTATATGTGTATCCAAAATTGAATAAAAGATTGGCAAGGCCTGGGCACCAGGGAAGTCCTTCCCCTTGAGTTGGGCTTTCGCCTGGCCCCCAGTATTTCCAAATCATTATTTCTTGTCTCATCTCTGTCATTTGTGCACAGCCCTTCTCCAGATCCCAAACCCTGAGTCACATGGGACATGGCTCACACAGGTAAACTCAAGATGGTTCTGTCCTGGGGAGGCGGCCCCTGCCCTGGGGCCTGACTCGGCTCTCAGCCCCGGGGAAGTCCAGCCCCACCCCGGGCAGTTTCCGGGACTGCATATCTCTGGGCCTTTGCTCATGCTGTGACCCATTCCCGGGAAACCTACAGTCCTTTCATCTAAACACCTCTTTATCCAAAACATGGCCAGACATAGTGGGGAGCATTAGGAAACTCACTGTCACCCCCATAGCCAATGGGCTTCACCCAGCACACGTAGCCTGTACTTTGATTCTGCTCAGAAATTCCTGTCTATTTTCCAATTGGTTCATAATTCAGAGGGAATGGGGTGCTGTAAATGGTACTCCTCCACGTTCCAAAAGGAGAAGTGAGACCGAGCCCTGAGGAATCCCTCTGAGGTTAAAACTGGTTCAGGTCTCACCTCTGCCTGTCAGTTCCTCGCAGCCTGGCCCCATGTTGCAGGGCTAGATGGCAGAAAATACGAACAGCAGTCGAAATTGGGTCCAAGGCTCGTATTTTGCTCCGGTAATAATTTTCTCATCAGTACAATGAGGAGCTTGGCCTAACTGAGCTTTCGATCTCTGCACACCTTTCACAGTCATTGATTCCGGGGCACAGAAGGGAATTTACTGCCAGCATCCTCCATCACCCAGGAAGATAAATTTCATGTGGCTGATGTCACAGGAAGAAAGCAGAGCCTGAATTATAGTGTCTGACTGTCGGTCCTTCCCTGGGCACTTTATCCTGGCTCCGAGCCTTTCCCTGCCTCCACAGCCCCCTCTCAGGGCAGGAAATCCAGCCACGTGAGCCAAGAAAAGGCGGAAGAAAACAAAACGGATTAGGTTAACTGTTCCCAACTCTCAGTGGCTAAGGCCACGAACTCCAAAGATAGGCCAAGTCCTGCTCTCGCAGCTTTCTTAGCTATATAACCTTGTGCAAGCCACTTGCCTCCTTGAACCTCAGTTTTCTCATCTGTAAAATGGGGGTTAAAAATAGCTTCTGCTCAAGGGCTCACTGTGAGGGCTAGAAGTGTTTAGAACTAGACCCAGCAAGCATTCTTTATAAATGACTGTTATTACCATGCTTGAATTCTCTGATCCAAAGAATGATCGTCTACTAATCTGACAGCTGTGCTGGGAAGGACATAATACAGACAGGAGATGAAGAAGCTGCCTGGAACACACCGCTTCCCTCTCCAAAAAGGAATGCAGCAGAGAACAGCTCAAAGGCTGCTGTTCAGACCGAACTGCTCGGAAATACAAAGCAAACGGCTGGGCTCCAGTAAACAGCATTGTCAACAGGTACCTGTTTTGAACATTCCAAAATGCTAGTTTCTACCAAACAAATGCCCCTGATCATCAGCGTGCTGCCTGTCTAATGAATAATCACAGCTGATGCTTCAAATGATGTCCCAGCCCTAGCTGGTGTGGCTCAGTGGATAGAGAGTTGGCCTGCAAACAGAGGGGTCCTGGGTTCCCGGCACATGGGACTTCCTGCACTGGGGTCCAGGGCACTTGGAGGTTCAATCCCCAGTAAGAGGTGTGTGCAGGAGGCAGCCAATCAATGATCTCTTTCATCGTTAATATTTGTCTCTCTCCCCCCTCCCTTCCTCTATGAAATTAATAACACAAACAAATACATATACAAAAGAACACACAATGTCCCGCACACAACACACTGTCTTTTCTGGTGCACTCTGTGGAATAAATGAGGCGGGGTGGGGGGGAGGTTATTGTTGATGGTGTGTAATGAAATATTATTTTTAGGGGTTTGAGAATTATGGGGAGAACTGATGCCCACGGTCAGGGGCAACTGTGATTTTTGTCTGCTCTCTGTTTCATCCCTGTTTTTCAGGGGAAAGGGCCGTATTCTATTGGGGAACTGATTGCTCCAACTTCAACCAAGTAACTCTAAGGTGAGCTGTCAATCACAGCATCGTGACCTCACACCCAGTCACTCTAACAGCAGACGCTGGCCCAGGGGTGGGCGGGCAATGGCCTCTCTCTCTGAGCCAGAGAGTCTGTCCAGTGTGCGCCTGTGGGGCACCGACTGGGCCAACCCGAGGGCTTCCCCAGGAACTTCTGCACTGGCGCGGCATGCAGACAAAGGAGAGTGTAGGATTCTGGGGCTGCCTGCGTCCGCAATTTATCAGGAGGGCGAAGGTCAGCCGGAAGAGGGAGACCACAAAGAAAAGCAAAGGCGAAGAAGGGAGAAGTCCCAGAAGGTCCCATTCCTTGTCTGCCACGGGTTCCCACCATGTCTGATGGGTGACCACTGAGCCATGACATTTTCCTCCCTGTCCAAGGTCATTTAAGTTGGGTTTCTGATACTCATAGAATAGAGTTTGTCCATCCATCATCCATCCATCCATCCATCCATCCATCCATCCATCATCCACCCACTTTTTCTGTAAGCCTCAAAATGCACTCTCTGGCCTTTATTAACCAGGTGCACAGGGACTTTGGCATGGATGTTCCAGTTTGGCTGATCTGTTCATGCCGGTACAGAAAAGGCTCCAAAGGCAGACTGAGTGAGTGGTTGGCAGTATCAGCACTTGCAGAATCAAAACCCTGTTGGTCCTGAGGAGAGGAGGGGAAAGAGCACTCCGCTGGGAGTCCTGAGACCTGGACTGTGTCACCCCTGGGCTCTGTAACTTGGGGCGGGCCTGCCCTTCTGGGGGGCTCAGCTTCTGTCAAAGTACCTGCAAGAAGACTTTTGAGGTGTGTCCCCGATCTGCCTCTGCAGTTCCCTCCCAGATGTCCCCTGAGCCTCCTCAGCAGTACCCCTCAGTGCCCCTTACAACCCAAACTGGGTGCAAGAAAGAAACGCTCATCCTTTGAAAACAGGCACAAAGGAGGGGGCAAGGAGGTATTGTGTTTTTGCTCGGAGCTCACGGTGCTGTCTGAAAGGGTCTCTGTAAGGTGGGGTGATGGAGGGGAGAGGGCACCATGGACCCCATTCGGAAGGACTGGACCCACTTTCCCACAGACCACTGTCCCCGAGGGGTTCCCCTACATGATGGTCCAGGGCCCTGCCACCCCTTCTGCCCCACTCCTGTCTGCTGCAGAAGGACGCCGTTGAGCCGAACTTCTAGGAGACTGATTGCAAGGTCCCTGAGCAGCCTGTCCACATTACAGAGCAAGCACATATTGAAGCTGACGTTGGCAGGTTGGCAGGGGCGGTCCTGCTTCACAGCTGCGAGCAGGTCCAGGCTCCCTGCTTCAGAGCATCTTCCCGAGAGGAAGCCAGAGGGAGGGGCAGAGAAGGCTCCCAGCCTCACTGGGCAGCGCCCCCAGCTGTAGGGCCACGGACTCCAGTCCTGACTCCAAAGAGCCACTTGGGGGCCCAGAAGCAAAGGAAGCGATACGTAATAAAGTATCAGGTCTTCACGTTCAGACCTGAGTTTGCATTTTGGTCCTGTCACTCAGCTAGCTGAGTGACCCAGTTGGAGTGACACGGTCCCTCCGAGCCCCAATCTCAATCAAACGTGAGGGTAGGAGGATGCCCTGTGGTTGGGAGGACCCACTGAGATAGCGTGTGTGGGCCTCCCCAACAAACTCACTTCGAGGAGAAACTCAGCACGGGGCTGTGGCTCGAAACTGCGACAGGGAAGAGTGGTCCCCAAACCCTATCCGTGACCAGCATGGCTGCCCAGGGGCCCCGCGCCACACAGAACTGGACCCTCTGTCCCGACACGGCAGTGGAAGAAAAGAAATTCACAATCAGAAACGTACCTGGCTGCTGCCTCCAGCTGTTCTTTCCTGCAAGGCGACGAGGGAGAGAGAAATAAAGCATGAATCATTCGGAACCCTCGCCCCAAATAGTGCCCCCGCTTCCCTTTGATGGAGGCAGAGGGAGAGAGGGAAAGTCCAGGGTGAGGCTGAGTCTCGAGGGGACTCACTGAACGAGATGGGCATCTCCAGCTAGACCTCAGGCCCCTGTTGTTCTGCCTGCTCGAGGCTCTTCTCAGCCATTCATTCATCATCCATTTGCTCATCTAGAAAATGGCTGCTGACCACCTCCTCTGCCCTCAGCCCAGTGCTCGGCTCAGGGCATTTATCTATTGATGGGGACAGACCAGAGGACCAGGAATGTCATCATTTAGCAGCTACACACCCATCACTCTGTCACCACCATCATCACCATAGTCGGCATCACCATGGCAAATATTACTGAGCAATAACTAACAGGCAGAGACCCTAATAAGTGCTTTTTATGAATCAACGTGTATCAATCCTCTGGAGTATTAGCATCATGCCCATTTTCCTGATGAGAAAACTGAGGCACAGAGAGGTTCAGGGAATTGCTCGGGGTCTCACAGTTAGGAAGCAGCAGAGTGAGGACTCAAACCCAGGCCACGTGGCTCGGTGCCCCAGACTACTACCCATAACTCTGAACCTTCACACGGGCTCTGCCGGGAATTCCCTGCTTCTTTCCCCTGTCTGGGGTAGTCATGCTCATCCTTAGCCTTCCAGCAGGAAGGGCCCCCCCTTTTTGGGTGTGTTTTTAATCCAACTCTCCAGGGTCTACACTGAGATGATCTCACAAGTGGGATTGTACTCAGATCGCAAGGTGTTAGAATTATGCGGTAGACCATGAACTGCTTGGGGCCAGGGCCTCTGTATTTTTAGCTCCAAAATCTGAGCACCTCATACCCGGGCCCACAGTGCGTGCACAACAAACACGGAGAGAATGACTGGCCTATTGCTGGGATGGGGGAGGGGAGGAATGGGGAGAGAAGAGGCTTCGTGGTAGCGGGGTACAGGAACAGCTGGAGAGTTGGGAATTTCTAGTTCATGGTCAGCTCAACATCTGGTTCCAGTCTGGCCTTGGGCTGGCCACACAGCCTCCGGCCCATTTTCCCTCATGATGCATGAGGAAGAGGGAAAGAAGGGTGAGAGAGTAGGCTCAGGGAAGACAGGAGGAGGAGGGCTGGGGAGCAGTGTCAGAGAATGAGGGGCATCCCTCCTCATCCTTTCTCCTTCTCCAAGACCATGAGCTCAGGCCTTCTCCACCATCTGCCAGGCCATCCTCAGCGTCCGGAGTGGCAGCAGGTGCAGGCCATGTGGGGTGGGGGAAACATGCACTGCCAGGGTGGCCCCCGCACTGGCTCCCCACTTCCTCAGCCACTGATCCTGCTTAAACACTGATGGCACTCGGAGTCATCTGAGGTTTCTTTAAAAATGATGCCCGCCCAGCTGGCATGGCTCCATGGTTGAGCATCAACCTATGAACCAGGAGGTCACGATTTGATTCCTAGTCAGGGCAGGTGCCTGGCTTGTGGGCTCCATCGCCAGTGTGAAGTGTACAGGAGGCAGCCGATTAACCATTGTCTCTCATCATTGATGTTTCTCTCTCTCCCTCTCCCTTCACCTCTAAAATCAATGAAACTATATTTAAAAAATATGGATGTGTGAGTCCCTTCCTGGGGGAGTCTGATCAACCACCCTGGGCCCTGGGAGTTTTGAAGTTCCCTGGTGATCTAATATGTGCCCACGGGCACCAAGGCAGACCCCCGGGAGGGCCAGTTGGCCACGCCCTGAGCGGTCCAGACGGGTCACCCACCACTTGCCTGAAGAACGGGAAAGAGACGACTGACTCATAGAACCTCCATGTGGCCACCAGGTCGATCCTGTTGGGGTTGGTAGCGTAGTACCGCCAGGCAGCCTGCGGGGAGAGGAGACCGGCCTGGAGTGACCTGGCTGCTCACACGGCCCCACAGCCTTAGAGAGGAGTCTGGGCACCAAATCCGTGACTCTCAAATCCGTAGGAGACACAGAGTGTCTTTGGTGCCACTTCTGGGTGCAAGAGACAGCGGAGATGGGGTTCGAGCCTAATGTGCTAGAATTACTGGATCCTGGGATGGCTCGGGGTTGGGGTCGGGGTCATGGGGCGCACGCTTGGAGACTGGGCTGGCCTGGAAAGGACAGGGCGTAGGGTAGCATTTAGGACTATCCCATACCAGACTCACAAAGACACTCACTACCCGGGACACAGTCACGAGTGGTGGCCATTCAGTCCCAGGCAGCCGTAGCCAGGACTCTACACCGGCCTATTCCTCGTGCTCCCCGCCGCCAGGAGGCCACGAAGCAGTGAGTCCCTCTGACATGATAGGAGCACTCTGCCTTTGCCACCACCTCTCACCATCATTCCAGCCCACAGCCCAGGGCCGGGTGTGCGGGCCACGGAGAGCCAGCAGGCAGCCAGGCACGGCAGCAAGCCTGCGTGACAGCAGGACCCAGAGTGAGTGTCTGTTCCCCACGTAAGGCACCTCTTCCTCCCCGGCTCTGGGCTCCCAAGAGGAAGAGGTGAGGCCATACTTCCCTGCAGCCACTGGCTCAGCTCCTGGATGCCAGGCTGCCTTCCTGGTGGGTCCCCGGTTAAGACCAAGGTGGGGAGTAGAAAGACCCAAATTTTCCACTGCAGCTTAGTTAGCAAAACAGCAGATGGGCCCAGCCAGTGTGGCTCAGTGGTGGAGTATTGACCCAGGCACCAAGAGGTCACCAGTTGGATTCCCAGTCAGAGCCATGCCTAGGTTTCAGGCTCAATACCCAGTGGGAGGCGTGCAGGAGGCAGCTGATCGATGTCTCTCTCTCTTTCTTTCTCTCTCTCTCTCTCTCTCTCTCTCTCTCTCTCTCTCTCTCTCTCTCTTCTAAAATCCATAAAAACATATTTTAAAAAAACACAGTAGCCAGAACTGGTTTGGCTCAGTGGGATAGAGCATCGGCCTGCGGACTGAAAGGTTCCGGGTTCGATCCCAGTCAAGGGCATTTACCTTGGTTTCGGGCACATCCCCAGTGGGAAGTGTGCAAGAGGCAGCTGTTCAATGTTTCTCTCTCATCGAAGTTTCCAACTCTCTATCCCTCTCTCTTCCTCTTTGTTAAAATATATTTAAAAAAACAAACAAAAACAAAAACCACCAGCAGATGGGTTGGTCTGAGTCCTGAGACCGACTCTACCTGATTGGCACAGAACCCGGAAGGGAGAGGGACAGGACTGTCACTAAGTACCCACCGAGCCCAGCTATATGCCAACCACAGAAACACCACAGCCACCTACGTGCAAGCTGGTCCTGGGTTGGGTCCCAGACCATAACATGGCCACCCCTATACAAACACACACAGACACAACATGCCCACATACATTCACATGCCCCCACATGTGTACCACATGCATGCACACCCACCCAGTGTGTGCACACAGGCACCAGGCACGCACACACAGAGATTACTCCCGTCCCGCAGCAGACAGACCTGGATGAGCTCGGCGGCCGGCTTCCTCCTCTTTTCAAAGTGCTTCTGCCGGTGCTGCTCCTGCACCTTGAGTGCCAGCCCGGAGCCCAGGATGCCCTGGAGGAAGGTCCGGCTCTGGGTCAGCCCCCCACCCCCCGACGCCCTGGGGACCCGCCCCACTCCCGGGCCCCGATGACAGCACTGGGTGATGGGTGGAGGGGGGAGGTTGCTGGGGGAAATGGAGCCTTGAAGTCCGGGAGGCCTGCCTCTGCCAGCTTAGGGGCACTTTGCCCACCACTTCTGCTCTCCGCCACCTCCTGACTCTGCCACTTTCCGCCTGAGACCCTGAGCGAGTCCGTTATCTGTGTGGCTCCCTGTGTTCCGCAGACACGGAGCGGGCCATCCCAGGACAGGCTCCGAGATGCCCTGCCAGGGTTATGCCAGAGGGGGGAGCGACTGAGCAGCCTAAGGAAAGCAGCGCTGGCACTGGGTCTGGGAGGAGGACTCGCTCCCAGCAAAGGCACCAGCTCGGTGCTGGCGAGAGCAGACACCAGGCGGCAGGGATGGCTGGTGAGCGGCAGCCCTGGAGTTCACGGTGTGAAGGGATGGAGGGTGAGGCTGCAGGCAGAGCAGGCCGGGCGGGAGGGTCTGTGTGGGCACTCGGTGCACAGGAGGTACTCACGGCCGGCAGGGCGAAGAAGGAGACGCCGATGAGGGAGAAAGTGGCTGCGATCAGACGGCCCTCCCACGTCTTGGGGGTCTTGTCTCCGTAGCCAATGGTGGCCAGTGTGATCTGCAGGGAGAGGGGCTCAGACGTGGGGGCCCCAGGGACCGGCAAACCATGGGGTGTGTCCCTGAGCTTCCTCATCACACCAGCCTCTGTACTGACCAGGGGAGGGGGCGCTGTGACCATTTAGAGTAAGAACTCGTGGGAGAAGAGCTACCAAGGAACACCTGTCCCTGAGTTAAGGGTTTCCTACCTCTAGTCAACGACTCAGCAAATGCTTCACTGATTGCAAACATGTCTGTGCATGTACCTACATGTATTTGTGTGATTTTGTGAATAGCCACGTTACCGAGTTTGCGTGCTTGTGAGTGTATTTACATGTATTGTGTACACATGTGTGCGTGTCCAATGTCTGCTATGGGCTGTGCACTCCTGTGTGTGATCACATGTATTCATGTGAACACATGTACTTGTGAACCCAGGTGGCAGGAGAGCAAAGCCGGTAAGAACATGGCCTCTGCAGCCCACAGCTGGAGTTCAAATCCCAGGCCAACCACTAACGGGCTCAGGGTCTGCCTTGAATCAGTTCCTTAATGGCTTCATGCCTCAGTTTCCCCATTTTAAAAAGGGTCCAATCATAGTTGTTTGAGTTCAAGCTGTGTTAATAGAGGCGAAATGCCTAAAACAAGGTTCTGGCGCAAAGTACCCTTCAGCAGGTGCCAGCTTGTGCCATGGGTCCCTGTGGGTGCGGGGCTGAGTCGCTAGCTGTGTCCAAAGGCCTGTGTCACCGTGTGTGTTTGCACATGCGTGGTTTGCTTGGTAATAGCCCACGACTAATGAGGTAAGGGCCCTAGTGACCCTGGGACCAGACTGCTGCGAGGCCTGACTTCTTATAAACCCGACGGGAAGCCTGCTTGTTCACGGTGCAGCCTGTGAGGTCGCCCGCGGGCAGGATGGGAAACGCAGGCAACCGCGCGCTCTCTGTGACTGCAGAGGGCAGCCACCCCTCTCTGTGGATAGCAGGCCATCCCCATGGGGGGGAGGGGGGCGGTCTGCCAGGGGTGACTCACCAGGCCCCACCACAGGGCGTCTGCATAGGTCTCAAACTCCTCTTTCATCTCCTCCCCCTGCGCGTCCACCTCCGGCACGTCTTTCTCCACCAGGTAGACCAGAAACGAAGACAGGATGAGGGTCAGGAAGCCGATGTACCAGGCGGTGATGAGCTCCTGGGAGAGCAGAGGACAAGGGGAGAGGTCCCTGGGGGCCGTGGGGTGGTGCTGGAGGCGGTCCCAGCTCGGCCGGCTCTGTGGCCCTGGGCAAGTTACTCACGGTCTCTGGGCCTCACCTCCCATCGCTGTAAAATGGGGCCAGTGACGTCATTATTTCCAGCGTTAACCCAATGAGTGTTCAGGTGGCGGGGAAGATTTCCACCACGGGGGGCGGGGACCCCGCTATCACTGCTCTGAGGCTTCAGGGGCAGGAGACGCTGCAGCCTCCGAGACAAGGATGGGAACTCTGGAGACTGATTTCAACAGGACTGGGCAGACTGAAGCTCCGTTCCACTGGAAACAGACACTAGGGGGGGCTAGTGTGCACTCTGCAGGGGACTGGGGTGGGGGGGAGAGTAGGAACAGGACCTCCCTCCCTGGGCTCCTGCGTGAGCACCAGCCTCCGGCCTCGCTGTGCGCGGTTCTAGCGATCCTGTGTGTTTGCACTCGCTCTGCCCCCACACGGGAGTCCGAAGTTCCATCAGATGCTTAACCAAAGGCACATCCTATGCCCAGGAAAACTAGCTGTGGGTGATTAAGAGGCGGAATAATGGTCATGGATGAGGAGCAAAAATGGGCCCCAGTCCTGTGCTTTGTGGCCGTTTAAAAGGCTATTCAGGGTAATCCTGCCTGGACGCGGTTTTCTCCAGCCCCTCTGAGGCAGAGCCTGTGGCTGCTCCGGGCGCCCGGGGCTCCTGCCCGTGGGCCCTGCCCCTGCCCCTGCCCCGTGGGCTCCTGCCCCTGTCCGAGCCCCTGTGGTCGGTGGCGGCTGAGGGGGAGGGGGGTAGCCGGTGTAGGGAGTGATGGGCAGAGGGCCATTGCAGGTGCTCCAGGCCCATTTCTAAGCCGATGGGGGCCCTTCAGGCCACATCACAGGCTGTGTGTGCGGGACGATGTCTGCATTTTGGGCTCCAGGTCACGGACACTCCTGGGCTCCTTGGTCCTGGGAGCGGAGCCGGGCCTCTCCCGGCCCTAAAGAGTCTAGGGCTGGTTCCCCTGGACAGCTCCCTCCGCGGGTCCCGGCTCTGCTTCCTCCTGCCCGGGCCTCCCAAGGGCTTCCCTGCCTGAGCCGAGGCGCTCGGTTCACCTTCCCTCTCCAGGGAACAGCTATGGTTTGGAAAATGGAGCCCCTGGGCTCAGGGACAGGCCCTTGCCTGCCTCGGCTTCCACACCTGCTCGAGTGCAGGGGACTCTGGGAAGGAATCAGACTCAGCCCCGTGGTCCCAGCTGCTGGTCTGGCTCGGAGAGGTGAGCTCCACCACGCCCAGCTGCAAACCGTTGAACCTGGGCTGGAGCCGGGCTGCCCGGTGTGCGTGCCAGGGCATGACCTTGGGCTGGCTACTTCCTCCTCCCTCACGTGCTTCCCTGTCAGTGTGATGGGAGACCATCGTGCCTGACACCCACAGCTGAGCGATCCGGGCTGGGCACCGACCAACAGCAGCTGAACCGCCCCATGTGCTGGGCGTGTGCCGAGGGCTCCTCACCGAGGTGACAAGCAGTGCCCATTTGCGTGACTCTGGAGCCTTCTCCTCCCGCCCACGCTACCTTCCATTAGCTCAGTCACCCTCTCAACAGCCCAGAGGCAGAGGCCTGAGGAGGGTCCAACAGGGTTGAATAGCAGGCCGTTTGCTTCTGGTGGAGCTGAGCCCTGAGCCCAGGTCTACCCGCTTCAGTTCCCAGTAGCCCACCTGCTTCTGCCCCGCCCCCCTGCTCCTTCTCCTTTTCACCACCAGTGGTGGCAGAATACCCCCCTCTGCGGACACCCTACTGGAGGCACGCCCTCGGGCGTGAGAGCCCACGTGGCCTTGTGGCCTCTCCCTGGCACCTACCTTGCTGTGGGCGCAGATGGCGGAGCCCAGGAGCTTCCAGGTGCCGCCCCTGCGGTCCATCCGCAGCATGCGCAGGATCTGCAGGAAGCGCAGGCTCCGCAGCGACGTGGCCAGCACATTGCCCTGGTTGCCCACGGCGACCACCGGCACAGAGGCGATCAGCACGAAGATGTCTGGGAGAGAGCACAGACCAAGGGCCGGTGACCAGAGCCGTCCGGGCCACAACGACGCCACCACAGGCCTCGTCTGCCAGCCCAGGGCAAATGCCAAGCACTGCCGGGTGACATCGTGAACCAGCCACACGTGGGGAGCGGAATCAGTCTCCTGGGACAGAACATGGGACACGCTAGTGAGGTTGTCCTCTGAGGTTGCCACATTTTCCTGGCAAGGAGAACCTACTAGAATGGAGAGGAGGAACAGAATGGCTGAATTCAAAATATCTGGAGAGAGTCAGAGGAGTGAGCGCCCCACGACTGGAAGTATGCAAGCAGTCTGCGTGCCCAGCTGAGGGCTCTGTGAAGGGCACTGGGACAGCAGACAGGAGGGCATGTTGGCCCAAAGGCATTTGGCTGGCCTTCAGCCCCTATGGTCTATAATCCTGACACTTTAACATCCCTGGGGTTCCATGTTCACCGGGACAGACTTTGTCTTGCCACGCTGTGGTTTCAGTAGGATGTTCAGAGGGAACATGTGGGCCTGGGCTGCACCAGGAGGGGAGAGGGGCAGCTCTCGCCTCCTCTGCTATGAGAATGCCTGCACCCGAATGAAGGGCCCAGGACACCTCCTCAGAGCTGCTCTTGGGTCAAGACAGAGCAACATGGGGACAGGGGGACACATAGGTGCTAGGTTCATCCAGAATGGAATGTTAGGATGGAATACGCTGTGTGACTGGAACATGACTCAGTTCCATGAGCCTCAGTCCCCACCTCTGGAAAATGGGCACAACGGGGTCTGATAGAAGCAATTCTGAGCCTGCAGTGGTGTCTCTCCTGCCGCCCCACCCATCAGTCCAGATATACAGGGATGACTGGCTCCTTCCAAGTCCAAATGCCAGGAGTGCCCCCATGCCCAGGAAGCATCACTGCTCTATGGAATCATGAGGAGGAGGAGGCACAGAGGGGGCATCCCCAGGAGAGAAGAGTGTGGGAAGGGGACTTGGCCGGGTGGCTCAGCGGTGGGCTTACCCAACATGCACAGGATCTTCCTGGTGGGCTTACCCAACATGCACAGGGGCTTCCTGGCAAACTTCAGCCGCCCCCGCCAGCCTTTGTAGCGGCAGCAACAGCCAGCGGCCCAGATCCTCAGAGCAAACTCGGCTCCAAAGACGAAAATCGCGAAGGTTTCCTGTGTTGAAGAAACAAGCAGAGACACGGATTGACCAGGGCCCAGGCCTCGGGAACCTGCAGTGGCTGCAGCGGTCGCTGCTTGTGGTGGAGGAGAGAGAACGAGTCCCTACTGGGGCCTGAGCCTGCAACCCCGGAATACGCCCTGACTGGAAACCGAGCCAGAGACCTCTTGATTCATAGGTCAAAGCTCAACCCCTAAGCCATGCCTGCCAGTCCTTTTTCTATATTTCTGCTCCAATGGATTATTATTTTTTTAAAAATCCGTCTAATGTATTCAGTGCCCCTCATAGGTGCAGTTGTGTTGAAGAGAGGTGTCAATGAACCCGTCTATGAATCACACCCAGCGTCTGGTCCCTGGTTGCTAACTGTGCCAGTGTCACTGGGCCTGGCTCCTGGGCCAGGCACCATCCAGACAGGGTTCCGTAATATTATCTTCATTTCACACTTTGAAAAACCAAGACAAGGAATAGGGAGGCAAGCTTCTCAAGGCTACTTTGTGAACCCTAATGGGGGACTGGCACCCGCTCCATGAAGAGGTGGGCGGAGCCTGCACCCAGCAAGATGTGGTTACTCCAAGGGCCAGGCCCTCCTGGGGCCTCTGCCTGGAGCAGAGGAGGCCGCTCCCAGCCCGTCCGCACGGCTGCCCACCTGCTCTTTGCACATAGTTCAGGCCAGGACGTGAGCAATCTGAGTCAGGGTATTAGGCGACTTGACGAAGAACGCTAGGCCCCTCTCTCCCCCACACCCTGACAGCAACCGAAAGGAAAGCAGGCAGAGGCCGTGTGGGGAGGTAGGAAATGGGGTTTAGTACTTAGCCTTGAGCAGAGTCAGAGATGCTCAGGTTTAGGAAGGAAAGCAGAGGCAGGGTGGGTTATTTTATTCGGAATGGAGTATGCCTCTGTGCTAACTTTCAAGGGGTAGGGAGCGGTAGCTTAGAATTTAATGGTGCATTGGTTATATCTGATCTAGAATAACAAATGGCACTCCCCACCCCCCCACCCGTGCCCCGGCAGCCCTGACCGTGTGATCCAGGCACTGCTTTCTCACGGGCCTGGGCTTGGCCAGAGACCCCAGGAAGCCCAAATCAGCTGGGCACACTGCACCCAGGGGCAGCCTCCTGGCCTTGGCCGTGGAAGCCCAACCAGAAACGCGGCACTGTGGCAGGTCCGCGATCTCACCAGCAGCAGAAGCCAGTCCCCGGAGACAGTCTCGTACTCCTTGAACGTGGTCAGCACGGCCAGGATCAAGCACCCCAGGACGATCAGGAACCTGGGAGGGAAAGAGACGGAGTCTTAGGCAGCGCCGCATCCCGGCTTGCTCCGAGGCTGGACGGGGCAAGGGGACAGACAGTGGGATGACCCCACAACCTCCGTCAGGCATGGGCATGTGTCGTGTCATTCCGTTTAACCTGGTAACACACTGTAAGGCGGGTAGGGTTAATATTCCGATTAAAGAAGGCAAGGCTGTGCATACTTCTGCTTTACCAGCTCGTTAGTGGCATCGGTGAGTTATTCAGTTAGTTAGCTGGAACTCACACTAGATCACCTGGTCCCAACTCCGGGCGCTGCAGATGCCCCCCTCCTCCCCCCACACACACCTCCGAAGACAAAGATCTTCATACCCTTTAGTAAACCATCAGGAATGAGAATACATGAATGACACGTCCTGCTCATACAGGACTGTGGCGTTAAAATGTATGAACAAGTTCCCAGGGTAAGGAAAGCACAAACTCCTTCCAGAACGTGATGCACCCCGAGAAGGCCTCCATCACCCTGTCTTACACAGTTTCCTTTCCGTGTGTTTTGCTTTTCAGTCAGTAGATGCTCAAGGAAGTAACCTCTTTCGTTGGGGATCTTCAGAATGGTTTGTGAGGCTGCTGAGGATTCTTCCTGCTAGACTCGTGGTCGGCAAACCGCGGCTCTCGAGCCACATGCAGCTCTTTGGCCCCTTGAGTGTTCTAACGCCACTTCTTCAACACAGACTCGCCCAGGCCGTGGTATTTTGTGGAGGAGCCACACTCAAGAGGCCAAAGAGCCGCATGTGGCTCATGAGCCGCAGTTTGCCGACCACGGGGCTGGACAAACAGGAGCCGCCACTCTGAATGAGGCAGGACACCATCCCAACACCTGGCACCAGAGTCCCTTGCAGGGCGGGACCCTGTTGTCTAGTGAAACTGTGCACAGAGCCAGATGAGTTGCAACCCTAACAACACGTGACTGCTAACCTGCTCAGCCACACAAATGGAGAAACTGGAGGAGCTCAGGCGGTTAGTGTTGTCCTGATGCGCCAAGGTTGCAGGTTCGATACCTGGTCGGGGCACATACAAGGAGCAACCAATGAATGTATAAGTGGAACAACAAATCAATGTTTCTCTCTCTCAAATCAATAAAATTTGCTTAAAGAAAAAGAAATTGGAGGTGGGAGTTGGTTCAGGGCTGGGAATGATGAGAGAGGACATGCCTCCCCACATGCTGTAGGGTTTTTAAGAACAAGTACGTCTAAAATGTTAGGTTTGTGGTCCTCAACGCAGCCCATCAGCCACAGCCTGTGGGAGTGGCTTTGTCTTGAGTTGGCATTGAACATGGAGCTGAATGAAGCCCGTGGCTGGGGAGAGAGAAGCTGACCTAATTCAGAGAGAGTCTACTTCCGCTCCGTAAGAATGTATGTAACCCTCGGGAGATCCCACGAGACGTGTGCGGTGGGCCTGCCCCAAGGCTGCTCCCAGGAGCCATGCCCTGGCACACTCCCTCCGTGGATGCAGGCGGCACTGTTGACTTGCTTCTAACAACAGGCCAAGGCAAAGACGATGGGCGGTCACTCCCTCAGGTAGGTTTCGTTCTGCAGCAAAGGCAATGAGACAGATGCACCGGCAGCGATGCTTTTTTACGTAAGACTCCATCTTAGCAGGATGGAGTGAGCTGCTGTGCTCTGAAGGGGCTGGAGAGCCGCAAGGCAAGAAACCGTGGTGGCTTCTAGGACCCGAGAGAAGCCCCCAGCTGACAGCTAGCATGTAAGTGAGACCCACGACCGACCGGATGAGCTTGGAGGAGAATGCCCAAGCTGTAAAGAGGAACCTCACCCAGCCCCACACTGCGCTGTGAGACCCCACGCTGAGCCCTCGGAGAAGCTGTGCCCGGACTCCCAACTATGGAAACCGCGAGACAATAAACAAACGTGTGTCGCTGACAAGCCACTAACTGTTGGGCAGCCATGGAAAACTAACGGCGTGGAATGGGGATCTGTGCCAAGCGCACCCAGTGTTTGCAGAGCACGGTAACCCCACCCCCTCATCAGATGGTGTCTGGGCTGCACTTGTGTGTTTGGTCTCTGCGACTCCACTCCCTGAGGGCGGTCACTGTCTGGTTTCTCTCTGAACCCCAGCGACTGTCTCCAAGACTGGCACTTAGAACCCACGAGTGTTTAGAGAATGGACAGAACTGGCTTCGGAGGTGAGCAATTGCCCTGCTGCTGGAATCACAGGCAAAGGATAGAAGGTGGTTCTGGAGAGACAAGGCAGAGGGGAAGGTTAGGCCAAGGGAAGAGTTTGGACTTTATGCAGAAGATCTTTAAATATACACAGTTCCCTGTCCACGTCCATTCCATCTTTGTATCTTTCCCTTACGTTGCTGTCTAAATTATCGGAAACATCAGACCTGCGGGCCCTGGGCCGTGTAAGGGGAATCAGTTGGTCTGGAAAAGCATTAGGGGTGAGTTCATGAAATGTTTGACCAAATACAGCAGGATAATTTTTTTTAAAAAACATATTTTTATTGATTTCAGAGTGGAAGGGAGAGGGAGAGCAAGATAGAAAGAAACATCAATGATGAGAGAGAACCACCGATCGGCTGCCCCCTCCACGCCCCACCCTGGGGATCGAGACCACAAGCCAGGCATGTGCCCTGACCTGGAATCAAACCGTGACCTCCTGGTTCACAGGTGCAAGCTCAACCATTGATGTTGTAAATATCCAAATATCCAAATGAGCCAATCAGGCTAATTTTTAAAAAATATATATTTTTAATATATTTTGATTGACTTTTACACAGAGAGGAATTGAGAGGGATAAAGAGTTAGAAACATCGATGAGAGAGATACATCGACCAGCTGCCTCTTGCACCCCCCCCCCCCGGGGATGTGCCCGCAACCAAAGTACGTGCCCTTGACCAGAATCGAACCCGGGACCCTTCAGTCCGCAGGTCAACACTCTATTCACTGAGCCAAACCGGTTTCGGCAGGCTAATTTTTAAGTTGGTAATCTTAATTGTATGGCCTGCAAATGATGTTGTAGCTATCCAAATGGCCTTGGGCAGCAAAAAGATTTTCCACTGCTGATCTATATAGACCAAGTCTGCCCCATGCCAGGACAGCTTCGGGGAGCTGTTGACATGGGCAGATGAGGGAGGGTGAGGGCTGACTGGCGAGATGACAAGGGTCCCGTGAGAGTCCAGGGGATCTTGGCAGGATCTGTGACGAATGGCATGAAGAGGCTGAGCAAGAGGAGCAGCTGTGAGGTCTCAAGGTGGGTGACAGGGTGGGCAAGTGCTGGGCACCGCCATCAGGAGCATGTGTACAGAGCCAGCAGGACTGAACGATGAACCATGCCATGGACCTGCCGAGTTTGAGGCCAAGTGGAAGAACCAGTAGGCTGACCAAAGTTCAAGTCTAAAGCTTAGGGCAGTGGTCGGGCCTGGGGACCTCAATCCCTTTCCTCCCTTTCCACATGAATAGTCTGGGACCACAGAGCCAGCAGAGGCAACAATTCAGCCTTAACCAGTCACCAAAGCACAGGTTCAGCCTGTTCCCATCAGAGGGAGGGAGCAGGCCGGGCTTTGGCCATCGGGGGGCAGCAGAAGCCAGGCCCCTGGCTGAGCTTCACTTTTCCTTGCCCATCAAGAAGGCAAAGCAGCAGCCATCACAGGGAGCCGCCTTCTGAGATTTGAGAACAATCATTTATTTATAAAGCCAAACGCGTCCAGGAAGTTCCTGCACCCGAGAGGAGAAAACGCTTTTTGGCCTCTTGCATATTTCAATTTACTCTTTAACTTGAACTTGATGCCAGGGGTGGAAGCCAGGTTTGTGCGGCTGGACAGTCCTCTCTTCGCCTGTCCTGGCTCTCCAGCTCTCCGTGCCTCCCTAGTGATGCTTTTCCTCCTCTGACAGGGCAGTTTCCTTCTCTGTGTTCACCCCACTTTTTTTTTTTTTTAATATATTTTATTGATTTTTTACAGAGTGGAAGAGAGAAGGATAGAGAGTTAGAAACATCGATGAGAGAGAATCATCAATCAGCTGCCTCTTGCACACCCCCTACTGGGGATGTGCCCGCAACCAAGGTACATGCCCTTGACCGGAATCAAACCTGGGACCTTTCAGTCCGCAGGCCAACGCTCTATCCACTGAGCCAAACCGGTTTCGGCTCACCCCACTTTTCTGTCACTGTGCCCTCCCCTAACTTCTTTTGCGCTCCTCTCCCCCCTTCCTCTCTCCTCTCTCCCCCTTCCACTGCTCCTTGCCCAGCCCCCACCCCACCAACCCCCCAGGACCTGCAGGAGTGAGCTGGGGCCCAGGAGTGGGCTGAGCCCTGGCAGAGCCAACAGCTGCCTTCTGTCTGCAGGGTTCGCTGTCTTTGCAAATGAGCCAGTCAGGGTCAAGGGTCTCGGACATGCCCTTACAGCAGACACCTTCAGTCTCCTACAAGCTTCCCCCTCCTCCTCTGCCCTCTTCCGCCAGAGGGAGGGAGGAAATGGGCACAGGAAGCCGCTCTGGAGCTGCTCTCAGTAGCCTCTGTGAGCTACCTGAACATGAGGCCCAGGTAAGCCATGCGGGGATTCCTGATGCCCAGAAACTGAGATAACAAATGTGTGCTGTGTTAAGCCACTAAATTTTGTGGTAGTTTGTGTGCAGTAACAGATAACTAACTAGTTAACCAGGATCCAAATCGGGGCTCACCACCTGGAAACCAGATGGCCTCGGGCAGGTTTATCTTCCTGAACCCCAGTTTCTCATTGATAACACAGGAGTGACAACTCAAAGGGCTTTCATTCTCTTAGTCGTTACCCCAATCTTTGTTGCTAAGAGATTGCACAGCACAGCAAAAGTCCTTATAACCAAAAATCACTCCTCTGAAGAGGTCTCCGTGCAAACATCCTTGGCGATTTCACAGCAGCCTCTGTCCTCGCTGTGCCTGGTTTCCCAGGCCAGTCTCTGCCTTCCCCATCGGGCACAGCACCGAACAGTACAATGTGAACCATGTGCAAAGTTGAAAGGCAGAG